AACTTTCACGTAGACCAATTAATTTACACGTATTGGGATTTTTTTTTTTAGCAAAGACATGGAGCAGAATACATTTTGCCCTAAATTTAAGATAATTTGTTGTTTTAAATACTTTTACTGAACATATTTAATAGCAAAAAATCTAAAATATTGTTTTTTTTCTCAAAATCGACAGGTTTTTTTTTTTTATTTATAGCGCAAAAAATAAAATACCGCACAGGTGATCAAACACCACCGAAAGAAAGTTCTATTTGTGGGAAAAAAAGGACGTAAATTAAATTTATGTAGTGTTGCATGACAGCGCAATTGTCACTTAAAGTAACGCAGCACCATAACGCAAACAATGGCCTGGTCAGGAAGGGCGGGGGAGGGCGAGGGGTTAAATAAACTCTGCAGATTTTGTATGGACGCGTGCTTTGACTTTATTCTGGAGATGACAGGAACTGGGAGACACCCCCGGTTCACATATATGTGGCTCTGAGGGCCGCGTTTTGCACGGGCACGAGAGACCATTCATTTGAATGGACTCCCGTGCACATGACACGCAGGGAAAAGAAGTCCCTGCACTTCTTCAGAAAACGCAGCCCGCATGGGATCCTCGGTTCCCAGTACGGTTGCGTTTTCCAGTGCGGGCGGCGTGCCATTAGAATTAATGGCACCCGACCGCGGGTCCGCATTCTTCTTTGTGGGTGGTGCGGCTGCATGGATCCGCAGCGGCACCACCCGCACAGATGTGAACCTAGGGTCATGTTTAACCTCCTTATGATCTATGTGATCAAATAAAGAATTGTTTGGAATATTTTTGAATTCATATTACTCCGCGTGGATCATCTAATAACCTTCTTTTTCCAGGTAGGGGTGTTCTTGTCACACTACCATTTTGCTTAGTATGAACCTAGGGTAACACCTGATGCATGATGATAACACGTAGGGGGTAGAGCCGAGCTCATTTGATTGGTGACACTTGCAATTGTATAGTCAACAGACCAAAAGAGAACAAATAGGAGAAGTTCATGGTTATGGTTAATATACAAATTAGACAGGTCCTCTTGGTAAATACCAACTCAAAAAGTTGCACCCCAGTGCCACCGGGGTGTTAGCCTGAAGACATTTTAACCGTTTCTAAACTGCCAACCGCAGATTTACTGCAGCAGAGTGACCCCACTGCGCTGGATCACGTACATATACATGACGCGGCATTTCTGGGTAGGGCGTGCGCACATGCCACCTATTTTGTGCCGTCATTTGCTATAGCACAAGCACAGCACACATTACACTTGTTAGCAGGGGCAGTCTGACCATTTGGAAACTCTGGCACTGCCCGAGGGCCCGGGGTCAGTAGTGGGCCCCATGAGATGCCCCTGGTACCTTTTTCATAGGCTTTTTTGAGTTTGGGAAAGGACACAGGGGCCCCATGATCCCCTATTGTCCGGGGGCCCTATGAGTTGTCAGTACGCCCCTGCTTGTTAGGCACTCAGTTGACCCTTTGAGTGCCCCTAGATGCTAACCCCTACCCAGCAAGTGTCATTAGTGCAGTGACGATGTATAGTATTAGCACAGATCACTGCATTAGTGTCACTGGTGATGTCAGTGTCATAGTTACATAGTTAGCCTGGCTGAAAAAAGACAAAAGTCCATCCAGTTCAACCGTAGAAAAAAAAAAGTTATAATCCTCACAGTTGAAATAAATGAAGGCAAAAAAAACTCAGCAAAGCATGATCCAATTTGCTCCTGCTGGGAAAAAAAATTCCATCCTGATCCCTTGAGAGCAGGGGCGGACTGACCATTTGGAAACTCGGGCACTGCCTGAGGGCCTGGGGTCAGTAGGGGGCCCCATGAGATGCCCCTGGTACCTTTTTCATAGGCTTTTTTGAGTTTGGGCAAGGACACAGGGGCCCCATGATCCCCTATTGCCCGGGGGCCCCATGAGTTGACCGAGAGGCAATCGGATATTCCCTGGATCAACTTTACCTATAAATATTATATCCAGTTATATTTCTGTGTGTCTAAGAAATAATCCAGGACTTTCAGTTATTCAGTTCCTACCAAGCGTCAGTTAGTGTCAGATTGCCCGCCCCACTTTCACTGTCCCGCTATAAGTAGCTGATTACTGCCATTACTAGTATCAAAAAGCTAAATAAAAATTCCACTGTATATACCATAGTTTGCAGACGCTATAAACTTTCACACAAACCAATCAAAATAAACTTATTGGTTTTATTACGAATTGGTTATTTTTACGAAAGACATAGAGCAGAATACACTAAACTTGATTTTTTTTATTGTATATATTTTATACAATCAAAAATGGATACAAACGTGTTGCGCTCCACTAATGTAATTAAATGTGAAATATACACAACAAAATATATACATAAAATGAATAAATATAATTCAAATTGATTTTAAATAACATATGTGAGTCCAGCTTTAGTTTGCAATCCTACTAAAGCTGCGTGCTTATTTCAAAAACTTGTGTTGAATTTGAATTATATTTATTAATTTTATGTATATATTCTTTTGTGTAAATTTCACATTTAATTTTATTAGTGGGGCGCAACACGTTTGTATCTGTTTATGATTAGTGACACACGTGTATGTGTATGGTGTAGGCGACCCACTTACTTGATTATTATTTATTCATTTATACATATATTTTAATATTGATTTATATTTTACTTATTTATATTTAATAATTCATAGTGGTGTTATATATTTTTATTTTATTAATATTATTTTACTGTGTTTACTCACCTTATAAAGACATGTATGCACAAAATACGCCATAGTAGTTCACAAGAATCAAGTTTTTACATATATTTTTTTCAAAAATGTCTATTTTTGTTTATATAATTCAAAATTAAAAAAAAAAAAACCAGTGGTGATCAAATACCACCAAAAGAAACTCTATTTGTGTGAATAAAAATGATATAAATTGAATTTGCGCACAGTGTTGCATGACTGCACAATTGCCGGTTAAAGTAGCGCACTGCCATATAGCAAAAAATGCCCTGGTCGTGAACGGGATAAAACTTTCTGGAGAAGAAGTGGTTAAAGTATCTCACAAATAATTAAACTTGTATTTCAAGGGATGTCTGTAATTTGACTTCAAGCTCTGCGCAGACTTCTGGGGAAAAAAAGGGTGAGTCAATCACTCATCCTCATGGAATTGCTGCAGATGGACACAAGGAAAGATTACTGTGGCTGCAAGGAAATGGAAAGGCACATACAGTTGCAAGAAAAAGTATGTGAACCCCTTGGGATTACGTGGAGTTTTGCATGAATTGGGCATAAAATGTGCTCTGAACGTCATCTAAGTCACAACAATAGAAGAACACAGTCTGCTGAACATAATACTACACAAACATTAGATGTTGCCATGGTTTAATTGCACATAACATGTAAACATTCACAGTGCAGGGAGGAAAAAGTATGTGAGGCCCTAGCTTAATGACTTCTCCCAGAGCTAATTGGAGCCAGGAGTGAGCCAACCTTGACTCCAATCAGTGTGATGATATTGGATGTGTTGCTGACAGCTGTCCTGCCTTTAAAAACACACACCTGTTTTGGGTTTACTGGTTTCAAGAAGCACTGTCTGATGTGAACCATGCCTCGCAGAAAAGAGCTCTCAGAAGACCTACGATCAAGAATTGTTGACTTGCATGAAGCTGGAAAGGGTTACAAAAGTATCTCCAAAAGCCTTGATGTTCATGTGTCCACGGTAAGACAGACTGTCTACAAATGGAGAAAGTTTAGCACTGTTGCTACTCTCCCTAGGCGTGGTCATCCTGTAAAAATGACTGCAAGAGCACAGCGCAGAATGCTGCATGAGGTAAAGAAGAATCCCAGAGTGTCAGCTAAAGACCTACAGAAATCTCTGGCACATGCTAACATTTTTGTTGACACATCTACAATAAGGAAAACATTAAACAAGAATGGAGTACATGGGAGGACACCACGGAGGAAGCCATTGCTGTCCAAAAAGAATATTGCAGCACATTTGAAGTTTGCAAAAGAGCACCTGGATGTTCCACAGCACTATTGGCAAAATATACTGTGGACAGATGAAACCAAGATTGAGTTGTTTGGGAAGAACACACAACACTATGTGTGGAGAAAAAAAGGCACAGCACACCAACATCAAAACCTCATCCCCACTGTAAAACATGGCGGAGGGAGCATCATGGTTTGGGGCTGCTTTGCTGCCTCAGGGCCTGGACGGATTGTTGTCATTGATGGGAAAATGAATTCCAGAGTTTATCAAGACATTTTGCAGGAAAACGTACGACCATCTGTCCGCCAACTGAAGCTCCGCAGAGGATGGGTGATGCAACAGGACAATGACCCAAAGCATACAAGTAATTCAACAAAACAATGGCTGCAACAGCACAGAATACGCCTTCTAAAGTGGCCCAGTCCTGTCCTCAACCCAATTGAAATGCTGTGGCAAGACCTTAAGAGAGCGATTCACACCAGACATCACAAGAATATTGCTACACTGAAACAGTTTTGTGAAGAGGAGTGGTCCAAAATGACTCCATATTGTTGTGCAGGTCTGATCTGCAACTACAGGAAACATTTGGTTGAGGTTATTGCTGCCAAAGGAGGGTCAACCAGTTATTAAGTCCAAAGGTTCACATACTTTTTCCTCCCTGCACTGTGAATGTTTACATGTTATGTGCAATTAAACCATGGCAACATCTAATGTTTGTGTAGTATTATGTTCAGCAGACTGTGTTCTTCTATTGTTGTGACTTAGATGACGTTCAGAGCACATTTTATGCCCAATTCATGCAAAACTCTAATCCCAAAGGGTTCACATACTTTTTCTTGCAACTGTATTAATTACACTAAATTACAAAAGTGGCTTGAATAGCAACTATTATTGTTATAATTTTTATTTTTATTTTTGGGGGTGTAAGGTGGGGGGGTGCTCTTCTTCTTTCAATGAAGCTGGCATTCTTAAAAAGACTGCCCAACAGGGTACTAATTGTGAAGGGCTAAGTTGCTAGAAATTTGTTCCATATTTGAATATGTTTCTTAATGGCTCTCCGGATATCTTGGTTCCGTAAGCTGTAGATCAGAGGGTTGAATAATGGCGTCACCAGGGTGTAAAGCAACGACATACCCTTGTTTATATTGACAGAATTACTGCTTGGTGGAAAAATGTAAATGGACGTTAGGGTTCCATAATAAACACACACAATAGTCAGGTGGGAGCTGCAAGTAGAGAAAGACTTTTGTCTCCCGGTGATGGATGGGATCTTCAGGATTGTGTGAAGGATGGAGATGTAGGTGGCCGAAATGAAGAGAAATGGAGAAAGAACGACAGGATAAGACACTAAAGAAGTGACCAATTCAACAGCTGAGATGTCCGAACACGCAAGTTCCACCACTGGAGCAATATCACAGTAGAAATGATTGATGATATTCGGACCACAGAACTCTAACCTGGCTAAGAAAATATATACTATAAATGACAGTGTGAAGCCCACCAACCAACAAGTGATGACTATCTGAACTTGATTTCCAAAGGTCATGATCATATTATAATGTAAAGGTTTACAAATGGCCACTTGTCGATCGAAGGACATGGCAGCTAACAGCAAACATTGAGCAATGGTAGGGACACCCAACAAGTAGAATTGGGAAAGACATCTGCTAACAGACACTTTGCCACCACCAACCAGTATCAGCCATAACATGCTGGGTACAATGTTACTAGTGAAGAGGATTTCGGACAAAGACAGCTGGCTGAGAAAAAAGTACACGGGACAATGTAGACTCTGGTTGACCACCACCAAGACAATGACAAGAAAATTGATGGTTAATGCCATGATATGAATAATTAAGAACAGGACAAAAACTAAAATCGTGAGGTCATGGAGCTTTCCGAATCCCAGGAGCAGAAATTCTAGGACTACTGTCTGGTTCCTCGCAAGCATGGTCTGAAGACCAGAAGACAGAAGAAGATTGGAGCAATGGAAAATAAATTTTCTGAAAGAACATAAAGCAAAACAAAACTGTTAATAACATAAAGGAAAATTTTAGACATATTCATGTGACTCAGAATTAAAGCATAATTGAACCTCCCTACCCAAATATACGAGGGGCGTTCAAGTCAAACAGGGACTTTTGAATTTATATGATAAAAGAACAAGTTTCAAGGAGTGGAAACTGCATTTATTTTTCTACATGCTCCTTTGCTACATTTATGCTACATTTATACACTTATCCCAATATTTAACTACTTCTTGGAAAGCTTCGGCATAGAAAGATTTGTCAGTACGTCTGAACCATCCTAGGACAGCCATCTTCATTTCATCATCATTGTTCACCGTTCCCACAGAAAGATTTGTCAGGATACCTGAACCATCCTAGGACAGCCGGCTTCACTTCTTCATCATTGTTCACCGTTCCCACAGAAAGATTTGTCAGTACACCTGAACCATCCTAGGACGGCCATCTTCACTTCATCATCATTGAGTTCACTGTTCCCACAGAAAGATTTGTCAGTACGCCTGAACCATCCTAGGACAGCCGGCTTCACTTCTTCATCATTGTTCACCGTTCCCACAGAAAGATTTGTCAGTACACCTGAACCATCCTAGGACGGCCATCTTCACTTCATCATCATTGAGTTCACTGTTCCCACAGAAAGATTTGTCAGTACGCCTGAACCATCCTAGGACAGCCGGCTTCACTTCTTCATCATTGTTCACCGTTCCCACAGAAAGATTTGTCAGTACGCCTGAACCATCCTAGGACAGCCGGCTTCACTTCATCATCATTGAGTTCACCGTTCCCACAGAGATTTGTCAGTACACCTGAACCATCCTAGGACAGCCATCTTCACTTCATCATCATTGTTCACCGTTCCCACAGAAAGATTTGTCAGTACACCTGAACCATCCTAGGACAGCCGGCTTCACTTCTTCATCATTGTGTTCACCGTTCCCACAGAAAGATTTGTCAATACGCCTGAACCATCCTAGGACAGCCGGCTTCACTTTCTTTATCATTGTGTTCACCGTTCCCACAGAAAGATTTGTCAGTACGCCTGAACCATCCTAGGACAGCCGGCTTCACTTCTTCATCATTGTGTTCACCGTTCCCACAGAGAGATTTGTCAGTACACCTGAACCATCCTAGGACAGCCGGCTTCACTTCTTCATCATTGTGTTCACCGTTCCCACAGAAAGATTTGTCAGTACGTCTGAACCATCCTAGGACAGCCATCTTCATTTCATCATCATTGTTCACCGTTCCCACAGAAAGATTTGTCAGGATACCTGAACCATCCTAGGACAGCCGGCTTCACTTCTTCATCATTGTTCACCGTTCCCACAGAAAGATTTGTCAGTACGCCTGAACCATCCTAGGACGGCCATCTTCACTTCTTCATCATTGTTCACCGTTCCCACAGAAAGATTTGTCAGTACGCCTGAACCATCCTAGGACAGCCGGCTTCACTTCATCATCATTGAGTTCACCGTTCCCACAGAGAGATTTGTCAGTACACCTGAACCATCCTAGGACAGCCATCTTCACTTCATCATCATTGTTCACCGTTCCCACAGAAAGATTTGTCAGTACACCTGAACCATCCTAGGACAGCCGGCTTCACTTCTTCATCATTGTGTTCATGTTCCCACAGAAAGATTTGTCTCTTGTGCAATTTCACGACTGGTTATGAGTCGATTATCCAGGATCAGGCATTCCATGCTTTGAATGGTCACAGGAATGACTGATTTGGGCTGGGGACCACCATGGCCGGGATCGTCACTGACGGACGTACAGCCATCTTTGAAACATTTTCATCTTCCAAATGTGTTGCCTCTCATCACCCTACTGTGCTTGAAGTCTTCTGTAGATATCCATGGATTTTATGCCTTCATTCATGAGAGACTTCATCACCACACGCTGTTCCATGCACGCACTAACACTGTTGTCTGCTATCTTGATTAATGGTCGTTGGACTGGCCTGCAACATGTGTGCCACCTATCAGTAATAGGACACACTTGCCACTTACTACTGCCTGTAGTACCACCACGCTAGCATCCCTTTTTATACAATTAAAATGGAAAGTCACGATTTTACTTGAATACCCCTCATATATATGTATGTTGCATGTCTCTATGAGGTGCATTGCTGACTTCATGTAAAATACTTTTCTAAACTCAGTACACCATACACTTCCGATTCATCACTCTGACCGCTTCCGTTTTGTGCAACCACTTCATGAACCCTGCCCTGCCCTGCCAATCACCAGGATGAAGGGAGCTATCAAGCTGCCTACCAATCCCCTGCCAATCACCAGGATGAAGGGAGAAATCAAGCTGCCTGCCATTCCCCTGCCAATCACCAGGATGAAGGGAGCTATCAAGCTGCCTACCAATCCCCTGCCAATCACCAGGATGAAGGGAGAAATCAAGCTGCCTGACATTCCCCTGTCAATCACCAGGATGAAGGGAGCTATCAAGCTGCCTGCCAATTGCCTGCCAATCACCAGGATGAAGGGAGCTATCAAGCTGCCTGCCAATCGCCTGCCAATCACCAGGATGAAGGGAGAAATCAAGCTGCCTGCCAATCACCAGGATGAAGGGAGCAATCAAGCTGTACGTGGAGTATGTCCATTGCAGGGGTGGACTGACCATTTGGAAACTCGGGCACTGCCTGAGGGCCCGGGGTCAATAGGGGGCCCCATGAGATGCCCCTGGTAACTTTTTCATAGGCTTTTTTGAGTTTGGGCAAGGACACAGGGGCCCCATGAGTTGTCAGTCCACCCCTGGTCCATTGTGTCCTAGGAGACAATGCTGTTCCTGCTTAGGGTGCAGCTCTGGCAATGTTGCCACCCTAGGACAGAAAGGTAAGGAGCTGGCATGATCAACAGGTAGAAAAAAAGGCAGAAGGAAGAAAAGAAAACTCAAAGAATAACAGTGCTGGATAAACTATTATTTCATGACTATTTTATTTTGCATATTCTGTAGTAGACTTCTTGGTAACTTTACAATTCTGTGTGAATAAATTATTGTCACAATATACTTCTGCTGTATCATAATTTTTCGAAAAAGCTCAGCCTTTTACCATGAAAAGCATTCTGGATCCAGATGTTTGTAATAGGGAATTATCCTTTCCTGAATCACATACACATTGGGGCACCACACTATCATGTGGACTGATATTCCTATAGCTATATACCATTGAAAAGTTGCCTACTGTATCTAAAAATAAAATGGCTTTAGATACTTTACACCAAACTGCAGTCCAAGGGCCGGCTGTGACCCTTTGCTAGCCTTAATTCGGCCCTTGGGGCACTATTCCTTCCAATGATTTGAGGTGCTATTCCTCCCACTGACACCAACAATGGGGTACTATTTCTTCCACTTGTAGCAATAATGGGGTACTATTCCTCATAGAATTTCTGGGGGGAGGGTGCCACCTGAGGACCTGGTGAGGCTCTGCTTTGAAAGCCGAGGAGGCTGTGAGCTGCTGAAGGGTGTTTCACAAGGATGGAAGACACTGGGTTTTGCTCCAGAGAGGTTGAGGTTAGTGCTTCACTAACTCGCTCTCTAGCTGTGGTAGGTGGCGGGGCCGGGAAGGGATTTGTTTGGCAAAGAGTGGCAATGGTGGGGACCGGGGGGGGGGGGTGGGATCGCCAATTTTGCTAGCCTTAATCCGGCCCTTGGGGCACTATTCCTTCCAATGATATGAGGTGCTATTCCTCCTCAGCAGCGTATTTACTTTGTCTAGGGCAGCAATTTTTTTTTGGGGGGGGGGGCGGGTGCCACCTGAGGACCTGGGGAGGCTCCGCCATGAAAGCTGAGGAGGCCGCGCGCTGCTGGAGGGTGTTTCACAAGGAAGGAAGATAAAGGGTTTGGCTCCGAAGAGGTTAAGGTTAGTTCTTTCAAAAACTCGCTCGATCGTTGTGGGAGGTGGCGGGGGTCAGGAAGGGATTTGTTTGGCAAAGAGTGGCAGTGGTAGGGCCTGGGGGTGAGGGTGGTGGTGGCGCCCAATTTTAGCAGCAGCGGGAGCCAGGGGGCGGAGGTGGTACTGGTGGTGGCACCCACTTTAGCGGCAGCGGGAGCCAGGGGATGGAGGTGGTGCTGGTGGTGGTTGGGGGGGCGCTCAATTTTAGTGTTGCCTTGGGCAGCACAAGAGCTAGATACACCACTGTTCCCCCTACTAATACCAATGATGGGGCACTACTCCCCCTCCTCCTGAGGCCATGTTTATTCTTACTGATGTTGGACCCGTAACATTGTCTACCATCACTGGGGGCTGGGAAGGGATTTGTTTAGCAAAGAGTGACAGTGGTGGGGCCTGGGGTGGGGGTGGTGGTGCCCAATTTTAGCGGGAGCCAGGGGGCAGAGGTGGTGGTCGGGGGCGCCCAATTTTAGTGTTGCCTAGGGCAGCCCACGAGCTAGATACACCGCTGTTCCCCCTATCAATACCAATGATGGGGCATTACTCCCCCTCCTGAGGCCATGTTTATTCTCACTGATGTTGGATCTGCAACATTGTCTACCATCACTGGGGGCCAAGAAGGGATTTGTTTGGCAAAGAGTGGCAGTG